GCCTATTACCATCTTAAAATGTAAGCAACAAGGATCTGTGGTACACAATGAGAGAAGAAACTGTACAGTATCTAAGAAACTGGATATGGATTAATGTAATTGTTCAGCATACTGATAAAATGGTTTGCTCCGGGACTACATAATATCATGGAATTGGAAAACACCATAAATGGCTTGCATAAATGTATTCTTGAATTCAAGTATGCATAAATAAATGAATAAAAAGTTCCTATAAGTGTCCTTATGACGTGTTCTTCCACCACGAATACTGAGCGAGCCAGCTTCTAGCGTCTTTACTAAAGGTAAGTGTCCTCTCACCTTCACCACTACACACTCACTGGATAATATGGCCACAGAAATTTGCAGGTTATAGCTCAAACAGATGTTGGAATCTCTCTCTCCTCTCCTAGCAACCCTGCTCCAATTCCTTGTGGTTGGCTTTAGCCACTCTCCCTCTCCTCTTCACTGGTGACAGCAATACCAGTGAGCTCACCACAATCAACTACCATGATAATTTGAAAAGACCACATGATAATTTGAAGAGATCTGTTGTTTCTTCCCAGAATTTTGTTTACATGTACCCTAGTCTTCAGGAAACATGTACCGGCATTGTAAAGTGCATTCTAGATAGTCAAAGAGAAATTCCACTTTACACGTTACAATCCCACAATCTAAAAAAACTGAGCTTGGTAATTCTGTTATTTACGTTATTCTTTTTTATACCTTTATTTACTTTTTTTTTTCCTTTATTTAACAGATTCTCCACCGCCCTATAGTAGAAATACTGCTACAGGGCAGCACGGGTGCTCAAATCACGTATATATACATGTGATTTTGCGTTTCCGGGTCAGGGGCGCATGACCTACCAGCGCCGCCATTCGCGGCCACAGCTGTCACTCACCGGGTTCTGGCTGGTGATTACTGAGCATCTCCGATGGGTAGGAGGACTGTTTTGTTTACTAACAGTTCTCCTCCCTATCGGCTCGGGCACACTGCTTTGGACACAGCCATCCAAAGCAGTGTGCTTCCACTGCACACTGTGCTTCCACTGCATACTAACATGGCCCCATAGTAAAACACTCCCTGCACACAGTTAACCCTTTGATCGCCCCTCATGTTAACCCCTTCCTGCCCAGTGCCATTACTACAGTGTCAGTGCTTTTTCTTTTAGCACTGATCACTGTATTGGTGTCTCTGGGGGTGTCAGGGACACCAAGTCAGTTCCCCCCAGCATCAGAATGTCCGCCACATTCCTGCTATAAGTAGCTGATCGCTACCATTACTAGTACAAAAAAAAAAAAATCCAGTATCTATACCTCTATTTGTAAATGCTATAACTTTGATGTAAACAAATCGGGATTTTTTTAGCAAAGAAGTAGCAGAATACATTTTGGCCTAAATGTATGATGACATTTGATTGTTTTACATTTTTTTTTTACTGGACATGTTTAATAGCCAAAAGACAAAATATTGTTTTTTTTTATCAAAATTGTCTTTTTTTTTTTTTTTTTTTTTTTTTTTTATAGCACAACAAAATAAACCTCACAGGAAATCAAACACCTCTGAAAGAAAGCTCAATTCGTGGGGAAAAAGGACGTAAATTTCATTTGGGTGCAGCGTTGCACCTATGCGCAATTGTCAGTTAAAGTAACACAGCGCCGTAATGCAAAAAATGGCCTGGTCAGGAAGGGGGGTAAATCCTCAGGAGGGCAAGTGGTTAAAGTCCCTGCCTCCCCACCCACCTCAAGGCACCCACCTAAGCAAAAATGACCTGTAACCCTGCCGCAGCAATGTCCTGAGATGTCACATATTCCCAGGAGGCATCTTCTTCCACCCAGCACTGGAGGGAGGATCTCATGTTGCATCATCAGGAGGCAACTGGCTCCCAATGATGAAAAGCAGGAAAATGGCGGCTCAGGATCAGGCATGCTGGAGTGGATTACAACAGAAAGAGTGCTGGATTTGCTGGGCTTGTAACTATGTTTTCTGAGCTTAACCCAGTGAAAAAAAGCAAAAGAGGTGGACATTCCTCTTTAATTAAACAGTTAAAACAGTTACTTTAACACAAAAGGTTTTCATTGTGTAAATACTTACATGTCCATGTAGGTCAGTGTTGAGAAGCATGATTGCGCAGGTAAGACAATGCACTCCATCTAGAACACAGATTAATAGTACATGAGGATGTGCTACTATTCAGTAAGACTTAATTAAGTATGATTTCTCAGATGGAATTGCCTATATTGTCCTCATTCTGTATTCTTTTATTGTTCTACACTGATGTAACCACTGTCATTAACACAAGCACACTTGGCATTATTTATCATGTCTCTGATAATAACTGCCTTTACAGCCACCATAGCAACCAGCTACAAGCTTTCAATTTTCTAATGTCATTTTAGAGTGCAGGTTTGAACTTGACCGGTAGCGTTGCAACACCACGATGCTAGGATCATCCCTTTAAAAGTGTGATGTCATCCTGCACCGGCCAATCAAGGCGGCCAAAGACCGCCAACCCTGAAGAAGCCAGGCAGGGGATGCTGTCGCTGGAAGCATTTGAGCCTTTTTCTTTCACTATAAAAGCAAGTGGCTAACAACTATACACTGATTATTCCAACTATTGGTACTGCCCTACCAAAGTTCTGTTACAGTTTAGTGTGTAAACCATTTTACTAAACAATTTTAGACTTTTGACACATGAAAAAATGAAAATCATTAGTACTTACATTTTTTTATTTATATCGGTTTAGCAATATCTCACCTACATGTAAGTTAATTAAAGCAGTATTAAGCCCTAAAACAAAAATGGAATAGATTGCAGCTCACCAATCATTAGATGTAGTTTATCATTATCATTATCATTTATCATTAGATGTATTAGTTTTCTTTTATTGTTAGGCTTTTTTTCCCCCCTCGGTTTGCACCTGGTGATCTGACCAGTAACACATTTCCTGTATTAGCGTGCCCCCAGTCTGGATTAAAGAGTACATTTGGACAGCAGCATTGTCAGTCTGGGAGGAGGGTAGTGTTCGATGTATTAGCAGATTTAGATACATTAACAAAACTCCACCTCATACTTTATAAGTAGTTACAGAAAATAGTTTGTTTCTTTTGGGATAAAGATTTTACATGAATATATAAAAGCTGATCATTGTAAACACCCGTCAGCAGGGTTGCCAACCATCAGTAAATTTACAGTTTGTAAAAATCAGTGATTTTTACAATTGTTTGTAAAAAATCTGAGGCTGATAATTTGTCATGCTGTGTTGACTTTTGTAAGTGTAAACCAGTCAAATTACTTGTTATGGGTATTGTCAGCATTTCCATATTGTGTTTATACTGTTTAAATTTTGATTGTCTTAGTTTTTAATGTCATTTTCAGGTTGTCAGTAAAAAGAAAAAAAAAGTGCTTCATCAGTAAATTTTCCATGTTTTGTCAGTAAAAAATGCAGCAAAAGGTTGGCAACACTGCCTGTCACTGATAAGTCTCAACATCTTTAGCTGATACATTTTAGGACAACTTGTTCTGTTCAAAAACAGACTTAACTGGCTGGATCACCAACTGAAAATAAAAGAAAGAGCCTAAAAAAATAAAACAAATGCTACGGTATAATAAATGTTTGCTTTTGGGTTGAATACAACTAACATTCTTAAAAGAGAGGATATGCAGAAAGAAGACAGATGTGACATTTTGGGTTACGAGATCAATGTTGTAAACTGGTGTGCTTGCTTATCACTGCATATGACTGAGAACGGCCATCCTATGCGTCAAAAACACAGTTTGCGTGTCATGAAAAAAAAGTTATTGTTGTTGCGTATGATACTAGATCTATATAAATACAAACTATACAAAAGAAACAACTTATTTTTAACATTAACCGCTTCCTGACCACCCTATAGCAGAAATACCGCTACAGGGCGGCACGGGTGCACAAAATCTGGTATATATACGTGATTTTGCATTTCCGGATAGGGAACGCATGTGCGCCCTACCCGCACTGCCATTCACGGATGTCAATCACTGGGTCACGGCCAGTGATTGCTCGCCGGTGCCCAGTGATTTCCGAGGATCTCCGATGGGGAGGAGTACTGTTTGTAAACAAAACAGTTCTCCTCCCTGTCGACTCGTGCACCCCTACCCACGCCGCCATTTGCTGCCTCGGCTCTCAATCACCGGGTTCCGGCCAGTGATTACCTGCCGGCGCCCAGTGATTACCGAGCATCTCTGACAGGTAGGACGACTGTTTAGTTTACTAACAGTTCTCCTCCCTGTCAGCTCAGGCACAGCACAGCCATCCAAAGCAGTGTGATTACAGTGAAGCACTAACACACGACCCCATTGTAAAACACATCCAGCACACAGTTAACCCTTTGATCGCCCCTCATGTTAGCCCCTTCCAGTGCCATTAGTATAGTGTCAGTGTTTTTTTTTTTTTTTTTTTTTAGCATTGGTCACGGTATTGGGTCAATGGGGATGTCATTGACACCAAGTCAGTTCCCCCCAGTGTCAGAATGCCCACCGCAGTCCTGCTATAAATTGTTGATTGCCGTCATTACTAGTAAAAATATATTTTAAAAAATGTTAAATTCCAGTATATATACCACCATTTGTAGACACTATAACTTTCACGTAAACCAATTAATATGCACTTATTGGGATTTTTTAAGCAAAAAAGACATGTAGCAGAATACATTTTGGCTTAAATATATGACAAAATTAGATTTTTTAAATTTTTTCCTGGACATGTTTAACCAGTTCCCAACCGCGTTATAGCCGAAGGATGGCTACAGCGCGGTTGTCTAGTTCTGGGATGAGGTCCATGGACGTCATTCCAGAACACGCAACCCCTGCGCACCCCCAGCGGCGCGAACCCGGCGCTGTCTGTGATAGCTGTGTCCTACGGATACAGCTGATCACATGATACGGTAAATGGCCAATCACTGCGGCCTTTTACCACATGATCAGTGATCAGTCCAATGACACAGCAGATCACTGGGTAAATACAGTTGCTGGTTATCGGCTGCACTTTCCTCACGCTGTCACAACATGAGGAAAGTACTGCCGAGAACTGGCAATTGTCAACGAAGGGATCGGCACTGATGATCAGTGCCCTGATGATCAGTGCCCAGCAGTGCCGACCACCTGTGCCCATCAGTGCCACCCACCTGTGCCCAGTGCCACCCATCAATGCTGCCCATTAGTGCCACCCAGCAGTGCCACCCAGCAGTGCCAACTATTAGTGCATCCAATCAGTGCCCATCAGTGCTGCCTATCCATGCCACCTCATCAGTACCCATCTGTGCTGCCTATCAGTGCAGCCTCATCAACACACATCAGTGATGGAGAAAAAATTACCTGTTTGCAAAATTTTAGAATAGAAACAAAGAAAAACTTTTTTTTTTTTATTTGTTGTTTTTTTTTTTTTTGTTTATAGCGCAAAAAGAATAAAACACCCAGTGGCGATTAAATACCACCAAAAGAAAGCTCTATTTGTGTGAAAAAAAATTATAAAAATTTCATATGGGTACAATGTTACATGAACGCGCAATTGTCATTCAAAGTGTGACAGCGCTGAAAGCTGAAAATTGGCGTGGGCAGGAAGGGGGTAGAAATGCCCGGTAGGCAAGTGGTTAATAGCAAAATGTCAAAAATATTGTTTTTCTCACAATTGGCGTTTTTTTTTTTTATAGCGCAAAAAATAAAAAAAAATGCACAGGTGATCAAATACCACTGAAAGAAAGCTCAATTTGTGGGAAAAAAAGGACCTAGATTTCATTTGGGTGCAGTGTTGCATGATCGCGCAATTGCCAGTTAAAATAACGCAGCGCCATAACGCAAAAAATGGCCTGGTCAGGAAGGGGGATAAATCCTCAGGAGGGTAAGTGGCTCATACTTATTGATAACATTAACAGCAGGTAGATCCCATTATTTGTTCTAGCCAACATACTGATATGAATAAGTTCCACTTACACTTTGTTATATAACATGGAGGGATAGTTTAACACAGCATGCCTTAATAGTGAAATCTCACCTCCAGCAAACACATTGGTCTCCCATATACACATACTGCTCAATGTCATGCCATCTGCGCTCCTCTCCTTCACATACTGCTCACTAAGACACTTGTATAGCATTGTTTGATCCTTAACTATGCCCTTTATAAATTGGGGACACATTAGCTAGTATATCTAAAAAAAATCCCTACTCATTCCCTTTAATAATGATCTGAATAATACCATAACCCAAACAAACCAACTGCCAATCTTTCATTGTTCTGGTTGCTCTATGCTGATTAAAAGGTGAAATCTGAATGGATATTGCCTACTGATTTTTGTAGTACCATCCTAAATTGGCCTGAACTTGTCGACTGAACAGATATACTACACACTTACAGCACATGCAGAGAACTTTGGCTCATTTTAATAACCTCTGTATGCAGTGTATGTGTTAAAGCTCTTGAGGTGCAGTCATTTGATTATGTTTTCAAACACAATTAACAACCCACAGATGGAACTACATACAGTATGATAATGAGGAACACAAACAGACATACAGTACCTGGAGAACACATGCTGTTTGGGTTGCACTGGAAATATCGGTTAGAGAAGTGAATTAAAACTCTTTCCCTTTCCTGAGTTTCTCCAACAAGTGAGAAGGCTTTAAAGAAGCTCCTGTCGAAAAGAAAAAAAAAAGATTATTAACACTTAGCAACATAAATAATTCTATCACTTAAAACAAAATAAAGCCGCTAGCAGATATAGTCTAGATAAAACTCCCTGTTGAAATACAATGTTCATGTATTTTGTGCAACAACTACATCAGTATTCAGTAGAGATATAGTCTTCAACCAGTAGATGGCAGTGTTTTTTATAAGTTTGTAGCTGCATCTATGGTATGCACTAAAGTATATCTTTTCTCTGAATAAAGTTTCCCATTTCCTTGTTGCAGTGAAGCAGAAAAGCACATGTGGACCATGCACTGCCTGTCCTGTAAGGCTATATACAGAATTTATATAGAAGGCTATATAGCTGGCTACAGCAAATAAGTCAGGCCAGAATATGTACAGAATTTCTAACACTTTTGCTTGCACACAGCCCTACTTGCCCAACACTAAAGCTATCCATACTCCTGAATTTTGTTCAGCCTGCAGGCTGAGATAAAAAAAAAAAATCTAACAGATTCCTCCACCCACACTTTACAGTGCAGATTGCATTCTCACAGCCGGTGCAAGAGACTGTCAGAATACCCAAGTAGTAAACATAAAAAACTAAACTAATGTGGTTGCATAAGTGTGCACACCCTCTTATAACTGGGGATGTAGCTGTGTTCAGAACTGAGTAATCATATTCAAAATCATGCTAAGTAGGAGTCAGGACACACCTGCCATCATTTAAAGTGCCTCCGATTAACCCCAAATAAAGTTCAGCTGTTCTAGTAGGTTTTTCCTAACATTTTCATAGTCGCATCCTACATCAAAAGCCATGGTCCGCAGAGAGCTTCCAAAGCATCAGAGGGATCTCATTGTTAAATGGTATCAGTCAGGAGAAGTGTACAAAAGAATTTCCAAGGCATTAGATTTACCATGGCACACAGTGAAGACAGTCATCAAGTGGAGAAAATATGCAGCAACAGTGACATTACCAAGAACTGGACGTCCCTCACAAATTGATGAAAAGATGAGTAGAAAACTGGTCTGGGGGCTGCCAAGAGGCCTACAGCAAAATTAAAGGAGCTACAGGAATATCTGGCAAGTACTGGCTGTGTGGTGCATGTGACAACAATCTCCCGTATGTTCTTCATATGTCTGGGCTATGGGGTAGAATGGCAAGATGGAAGCCTTTTCTTATGAAGTGAAACATCCAAGCCTGGCTAAATTTTGCAAAAAAAAAAAGTCTCCTAAAAGCATGTGGGAAAATGTGTTCTGGTCTGATGAAACCAAGGTTTAACTTTTTGGCCAGAAATCCAAAAGACAAGTTTGGGGCGAAAACAACACTGCACATCACCAAAAGAACACCATACCCACAGTGAAGCATGGTGGTGGCAGCATCATGCTTTGGGGCTTTTTTTCTTCTGCTGGAACTGGGGGCCTTAGTCAAGGTAGAGGGAATTATGAACAGTTCCAAATACCAGTCAATATTGGCACAAAACTTTGAGGCTTCTGCTAGAAAGCTGAACATGAAGAGGAACTTCATCTTTCATCATGCCAAGGACTCAAAGCATACATCCAAATCACCAAAAGGAATGGCTTCACCAGAAGAAGATTGAAGTTTTGGAATGGCCCAGCCAGAGCCCAGACCTTAATCCGATCGAAAAACTGTGACCGAAAAGGGCTGTGCACATGAGATGCCCTCACAATCTGACAGATTTGGAGTGTTTTTGCAAGGAAGATTGGGCAAATATTGCCCAGTCAAGATGTGCCATGCTGATAGACTCAGACCGAAAAAAACTGAGTGCTGTAATAAAAACAAAAGGTGCTTCAACAAAGTATTAGTTTAAGGGTGTGCACACTTATGCAACCATATTATTTAGTTTTTTATTTTTTCTTCCCTCCACCTAAAAGATTTCAGTTTGTTGTTCAACTGAGTTGTACAGTTTATAGGTCACATTAAAAGGTGGAAAAAAAGTTATGAAATTATTTATCTTTGTCTGATTTTTGTACATCACAGAAACCTGACATTTTAACAGGGGTGTGTAGACTTTTTATATCCACTGTATGCATGACCCATACCTGTGGAAGCTGTAAATCACTGCGCTAGGCATCGCTACTACAGTGATTGCTGTTAGCTTCTGAGTCCTGTCCAATCAGAGAACACATTGCATTAATTGAGAAAATGCAATGCGGTCTCTGAATAGGGGCTCCTGCAAGCAAGCAACCTCCTGTGTTCAGTAAGCAGCAGGGCAGCTGCTTGGATAAGACCCCGAAGCTACCGTGGAGATCACTGTAGTAGCAGTACCTACTACAGTGATTTCCAGCTTCTACAGGCATCACATAGGCAGGGCTGTGGATAAGGGGGTACCACCAGTCCTCCTGTATGGGGCCCAGGTCTGCAGGGGGGCCCAAGCAGCTGGGGGAATTGTATGTGGGCAGGAAGGGTGAATGGGGCAATTACTGGAACCAATCCCCTATATGGCTCTCTCTGCAGCAGCTGAAAGCTGGGTTCTTCTCCTCTCCCCACTTTCAGCTGATGCAGACAGAAACATACAGGGGATCAGTTCCAGTAATTTACCAGCCTCTTCCATTCCTGAATGAACACAATGAGTGATCTGTACTGATCACTCACGGTGTTCATTCATAACTGAAGCATAGTAAACAGTGTTGTTTTTGTGGGCATGGGGGGACCATGTTAGGTTGGCTGTATGGGTACCTGTGGTTTCTAACAGCAGCCCTGCCCTTAGGTATATGGCACATATATACTTACAATGGTTCAAGCTTGACAAATGTAACTGTAAAAATTGCCATGCCTGGAATTCATATATAACTTCATCAATCTGTCTTTCAGTCAGCATGTTCCTCTTATTAGTAACAGCACTGCACAATGTAGTACAGTCTAATTGGCTTACAGTGCTACCTCTTTCTCTCTGAAAGACCGATTGCTGATATGCAAGAAATAACATGTGACATTACTGGTCTAACAAGTACAAAAAAAAAACTGTATTGAAATATGGAAGCAGTCTTTGCTGACCTCACCTTCTGAAAATGCTAACTTCCTAGATGTCTTGCTGATCCAACAGTATTTTCAGAGTCATGGACTCAGAAAAAGAATGCAGATTACCAGCTCTGACATTACTCACACTTTCCTAATCAGAATACGTTTTTTGGTTCAATCACTTAGAAAGTATTGAAAAGCAACTCGATCTGCATGATAGGCAATAAACTAGCGTTTTCAAAGCAAGTCAGAACGGACAGCTTCTCTATTTCTCTTACGGATTTAAAGCTAAAAAGCTAAATACACAGATACAACACATAAATGTAGGGGCTGCCAAAGGATATTTATACTTAGTACTTCGAGTCCTGAGTTTGACAAAGCTCTACCACACAGCACAGCCCTATCTGCTGGGGAGGAGACCTGATTTTTCTGAGCTGCAATTAACCACTTGCCCCCCTGAGGATTAACCCCCCTTCCTGACTAGGCCACTTTTTGCAATACAGGGCTGCGTTATTTTTAACGGAAAATTGCACGGTCATACAACACTATACGTAAATTACATTTATGTGATTTTTTTCCCCCACAGATAGAGCTTTCTTTTGGTGGTATCTGATCACCTCTGCGTTTTTTTACTTTTTGTGCTATAAAAAAAAAAAAAGACCGACAATTTTGAAAAAAAAAAACAAAAAACAAAACAATAATTTTTTACTTTTTGCTATAAAACATCAATAAAAAAATTAAAAAAATCAAATGTCTTCATAAATTTAAGCCAAAATGTATTCTGCTACATGTCTTTGCTTAAAAAAATCCCAATGCGTGTGTTTTAATTGGTTTACGTGAAAGTTATAGCGTTACAAATGGTGCTATTTTTTAATCTTTTTTATACTAGTAATGGTGGCGATCAGTAACTTATAGAGGGACTGCGGTGCGCCATTCTGACACTTGGGAGGAACTGACTAACTGCCGCTGGCAACCTCAGTTACACTAATACAGTGATCAGTGCTAATAAAAAGCACTGACACTATACTAATGACACTGGGCAAGAAGGGGTTAACATCTGGGGCAATCAAAGGGATAACTGTGTGCTGTGTTGTGTTTTACTAGGGAGACATGCTGCTTTGTATCTCTCTCTCTGCTGTGCAGAAAGATACAAAACAGCATGTCCATGCTGATAGGAGAGATCTGTGTTGTTTACATACAGATCTGCCCTCTCAGCCCTGCCGATGGTCACAGAGTCCCAGCCGAGAATCGCCAGCCGGGACCCGGTGATTGACATCCCCAGCAGCCAATAGCGGCGCGGATAGGGCACGAGTGCGCCCAGTACCCGTAAACGCAAGAAACGTATATATACGTGATTTTGTGCAGCCGTGCCGCCCTGTAGCAGTACTTCTGCTATAAGGACGATGGCAAGTGGTTAAGCAACACTTACAGGTATTGTTACACCCTCAGCCTGTCAATGAGCAATAAATGCAGCAGATTAATGAGTTATTTGCTGTCATTCTGATCTCTCCACCTATCAGCCTGTCCCCTGTTAATATTGAGGACTGCAACATAGCTGATTGGGCTGTTCTTCGATTTCTCAGCCAGAGCTCTGCTGCAGAAGGACTGCAGGAGGCTGATATCAAGCTAGCTGAAAAAAAACAAAACCAAAAAACCCATACATTTAATGATATACTGCTGAGTACAGAGCTGTATCTGTGACTGCTGTATCTACCTGGAGGTCAGATTCAAAATCCTTTTATCATAAACTGCAACAACACACATCACTGCATTTTTCAATTGTGTGTGGAAGTGTAACAATCAAGTCCATAAACTTCTCTTTGGCCCTGGTTCACACTGATGCGGTGTGGAATTCAGTGCAAATTCCGCACCGTATCAGAATCGCACCCAGTTCATACGAACCGCTGCAGGTGTGTATGTTAAGTTTAACAACCCCCCTGAAAGCGGTCCGCAAAACACGGTGCGATGTGCAGAATCGGATCATCTAGGTGTGAATACCTATGCAATCCGATTTTAGTGCGGAC